TTTGTTTTTTAAATCGGGGTATTCTATCATAGCAACAGAAAAGCAATGAACAACACAGAACTTTTGAGCACCTAGAAAAATCAAACTTGATTTATACTGCTATAAGTAAACATGGACTGAGGTGGTTTTGCTTGCTTGCTTGCTTGCTTGCTTGCTTGCTTGCTTTCACAGAAACATGATGGAGGTACTTTGACCCAAGGCTTTTTGCCATTCAGCTTGAAGCATCACTGGAGGTTTTAAACAAGGATGGCAGAGTGGTGAAAGGGAGAAGAACACATCTGCATTAGGAAAACAAAGGATATAACTGTTTACTTCTGCTTATCTCCTGGTAACTAGAAAGTATCCTTTCTCTGCTCCTGCTGGTGATTAAATAAAATACATCCCCTGGCAGCTGAGCTGAAGGCAGGCTGGAGGCTCAGGATACAAACCACAACCTGCAATCTGGACCACACTTATGGAGCAGATTCATCTTGCTAAGCCTAGTGTGCTCATCAGCTGCTCTGATCAACTATTTTAACACCAGCTTCTTTCTATCAGTTCTGTCCACAGAAAACAGTAACTCCACATGGATTCACAAGTTTGAAGAGAACTGTATACTATAGCAGCAACTTTCCTAGTTGCTAGTGATGGCCAATGTCATTCAGGACATTTTAGGGCTTACTCTAGTTTCTACCTGTGTTTGGAGAGTTCTCTGATGCCTACCCTGCTGCTTTCCCAGTTTGAGATGTTTCCTGGTCCCCTCATGCTTCTTAATGGAGAGACACAATGAGTGAATTCACTTTGGCTATTTCTGGATGTGCTTGTGTTTAGGTTATTATAAGGTTTTGGAAAGAAAGTGGCTGCAAATCAGAGCTAGTCAGTCAGCTAGAGATGTTTATTATCAGAAGCCAACAGTACAAAGGCACTAGGGTGGATAAAACGTGTTAATGATGCAATAAAGAACAATGGTTATCTGTTGTACAGTTTCCATCATCTGAGATTAGTTCAGTAACCAAAGGTGTGAGCAAAGTCCTGTTCCTTGTGGGAAGGCTAGGCTGATTTTATGACAGACTTCAAAATAATCTCTGGGGACTTAGCATGAGATTTGTGTTTCAATAGAGAAGAGGTAGTTATAAGTAAACAGTTTTAATCAGGGAGTAGTTCTGCATATTACTCACTCCTTACTGTCAGTGCTACAGCATCTAACAAATCTGTCCTCCTTGCCCTGTTTTCTTCTGTTCACTTAACATAGAATCTTCTAACTTATGGTATTATTAATTGGCTCTCAGATTATAATGAAGTTGAGGTTTTCCTAAGAATACTATGCTGGGCAAAGGACAAGGCTAGGGCCCATATGCCCAACCAAGAGGGAGCTATATCTCCTGGAAAGAGATTCTACACTCTTCTGAGAACTGGCCGGAGAGGTATATTATTTACTTTTAACCTGTAGTTTACTATCTATCTTTGTTCTCTTCTGTTAGAATGTGAGTTTCACATATGTATGGGCTTTCATTTTGTTCATTGATTTATTTTGGTGCAGAGAACAGATCTGGGCATTCCATGTAGTCAGAAAGCATGCATTAAGTGTATGGGCCTACAGTCTGGCCAAATGAATATTTCCATGATTCAGTGCTCTTTTCAGAAAATATAGACCAAGAAACATGCAAATGTACACACAAAGAAAGAAAATTCAGTAGGCTTTTCTGGAACACACAATCATCCTTCCCATCCCTGGCTTCTCATAATATCGTTACAGCAGCTGCTAACACACTCAGAGAGTTTATAAATCCAGCAGGACTACTACGACAGCTCTTCTAATTTCTTACTCTGTGTTCTCATTTTTACCCTCATCCCCTTTAAAAATAACTCTAATAAGTCTGGCTGGAGTTTGAAAGGGGAAGCATGAGTCAGGATTTACTTCCTTAGGGAGAATTTGGGCAAATGGATGATAAATTGGTGTATATGGGGAAGCTGTAGAACATTTACTAGCAAGCAGATGTTACAGAGACGTGTTTTCACATTGCAGCTGTAGAAGTAGAGGCTAAGACTCTTCATTCTCTCATCTGGAAAGGCAAAGCGCTAGGGTCATGTTGTCAACAGCTCTTCAATGAATTTGAATGAAATGAACATGATCTATATAACACATAAGATACACATGGGACACTCTAGTTTAGGATTTTTAAATGGGAACATTTTACGTCAATAAAGGAGTTGATCTAACCAATTGACATCAGATGTGCAGACTTTTTTTGCCCTTAAAAATGATACGAAACAGAAAATGGTTTTCATGATGTGAAGTGGATTAGGTTGACTGAGGTAGAAGACCCACATGTGGGCAATGGTATTCCATGACCTGGTCTCTAAGACTAAATTCAGCAGAGAAGGAACACTGGGTACCAGCATTCTCCTCTCTGTTTCCTGACACATGACCAACACCTCCTGGTGCTAGACCTCACCTTTACAGTGGGCTTTATCTTGTGAATTGTTAGTTGAAACAAACACTTCCTTTCTTACATTGACTGCAACAGGCATTTTATTATAGCAACAAGCCAACCAACTAATACAGTTGTCATTCCAAGTGATTATTTTGACTATTTCAGAAAACAAGGAATATGGACAGAGATTGGCTCAGTCCAGCACAAAGCTACCAAATGCGGAAATGTACATTCTCAGAATCTTCTCCACACTTTTTCTTGCCATGATCATGATCATGGGTACTCTTTATTTTTTACTCAAATCTCATTTACACTTTTGGGACAACAACACACTTCCATCTTCTTTACAAAAATTGCATAAAAAGTTCAACAGCATCTGTCCTTCCTCTGCAAGAAACATTTTAAACAGGACATCTTTGGATGTGATGTTTGAAATGAAAGAGCAATACTTCTCATATACAAAGCTGAGTATTGGCAGTTCACTGAAGGTATTGTCTCAGTAAAGCCACTGACACTGAAGTTACTGTCTCAATAAAGCCACAGACATAGAAAGAGAACCAGGTATTAATGTTTTCAATATTTATGTAACTAGAAGAAATGTAATATGATTTTGTAAAAAAACATGTAGATGTCAAGCCATCTAATGTCAGAAAAAAAGTCTCTGAATTATTCATCTTTTGGTTTCTCTGGTTATTACTACCATGTACCTTAAACAGAAATAATGGTTAATATATTATGACTGTCTCCCAAGTTAGGGAAATATTTCTGCCAAAATTGTTTGCTGTTCTGTTTATACATGAACACTGTAGTAGCAACACTCTCACAGGCGTAACATAAACAGCTGTTCCTCTTTCTTTTGTTGTAAACATATCCAGACTTTAAAAAGTTATATTCTATAGCCAACATAAGCCACAACCACTATGAATGGTAAGGTCCCATTTGCCTGACTTCCAACTAAAGATGATAGAAAATTGAATTTGCTTCATTTTTTAACATTTTTGGTATTTGTGGGATACATTAGCTGTCTTAAATGGCTCCCTGAGGATTCTCACTAAATGCTTAGAAACTTTGAAGTCTGCATGAAGGGAGGTCAAACTGAGGCATAAGCATTGCCTTCTTTTGTCTATTTATTTTTATGTGTTTGTGACTGTGTACATATGTATATATGTCACAAGAGGACATTTGATTCCCTGGAGCTAAAGCTATAGACATTATGAGTTAACTGAAATGTGTACTGGGAACTGAACTCAGGTCCTCTGGAAGAACAGGAAGGACTCCTAACTGCTGAGCAGTTTCTCTCAGCCTGTCTTATTTCTAAAACTAAAGGCAGTTTTCATGAACTTATAAAATATGAAATTAATCAAGTTAGTTTTCAGTGTAAGATAAACCATTCTCAAAAGATCTGAAACTGGCTGAGAAAGCTGAGTCAATTCACTAGTTTAGCATTAACTTGTAATTACATGGTGTTTTCAAGACAAAGTATCTCAACGGGAAATGTCTTGAGCTCTAATGCAAAGCAAACTTTAGAAGTGGAGTATTGCCGGGGGCGGTGGTGGCGCACGCCTTTAATCCCAGCACTTGGGAGGCAGAGGCAGGTGGATTTCTGAGTTCGAGGCCAGCCTGGTCTACAGAGTGAGTTCCAGGACAGCCAGGGCTACACAGAGAAACCTTGTCTCGAAAAACCAAAAAAAAAAAAAAAAAAAAAAAGAAGTGGAGTATTTAGGATTTAGGAAATTGTATGTGATACTAACCATATGTCTTAGAAGCATTTTGCTTTTTTAGTCTATGCGAATTCACATGCAAAAGAAGGCATGAGAGTAGGAGAGGGACTTGCAAAGAAGAAGAGTATTAGTGGGGCAGGAAGTGGGAAAAGAGAGGGAGTGGGGAGGAAAACAACTAAATGTTATATAAATGTTTGAAGCTGTCAAACATGAAAAGAAAGTTTCTTCCTATATTTTCAAAACTCAATAAACATTAATTTATTATATATATTTCTGAATATATATATATATGTATATATTACAAGAAGAATTTTTTCTAAGTAGCCTATGTCAGTCTACTCTCATTTAGCATGAGTGTCTTATGATTACATCTGGTAAAAAAAAAAAATTGGTCTTCAGAAGGGACAAAGAACTGAAACTGAGAAAAGAAGAAAATCTTCTGCTTGGAAACATGGCAGAAAAGGTAACACTGACAGCTGAGGTTCCTACCATTGTCAAGTTGCTGTTTGCAGTACTGACTGCATAATGCCATGCTATACATATACACAGAGGCATATATATTCTGTGATACACATATATACAGATATGTTCATATACATGCACATACACACAGACACATGTACCAAGCACATTATGTATATGTAAATATATACAAAAATAGTACACACACACACACACATATACATACATAAATGTTGTCTTTGATGATATCACAAATATGTAAGCATTCCAAACTGCAACCATTCATGAGCCCAGTTTTTGTATTTATGTTTATCTTTTTTTGTTTATGTCTTTCCTTATTTCCAACAAGAATATGAATATGTGAGGTCTATAACACTTAGTGTAAGATGAACAAATGGCTTACCTGTCTATGATGGCACACATGTCAATGGTGACATTTGCAAAGCTTCCTGGCTTCCTCTGTGCCACTTCATATAAATTTACAAGCTGGTCGTCTACCTGGATGAGCTGCATGCATCCTTGGAATGATGGCTGAAGGGCAAAGTGACTGGCATTGTTCATGTGGTTCAGAAATCCTGCAAAACAGAAAGAACAAAAAGGTCACAATGGGAATTCAACATGCTTTATTAAAGGCCTCTCGGGCATTTGACTGGGCACAGGCATCTGACTAATAATGGTGTTTCTTTGATTTTTGCTAATGTAGTAGAGGAGTGCTTGAGAATGGGAGATAATTTTAGGTGAGAATTAGGTTTGGGGGAAGGAGTTGAATGGCCCTATATGTTCATGTATTTGAGTGCTTATTTCCAAAGTTGGTGGAAGTATTTGGGAAGGATTAGAATATGTCTCCTTGTTGGAGTAAGTATGGCCCTGAATGTTCCTCAATCCAAATTTGCCTTTTGGCAAATTTAAACTGTATTCATTAGTCTTAAATTATTTACTAATTTATTCTTTCTAATACTATATGATTGGCAAAGACAGTCAATAAATAAAAATGCCATTAAATGAATAAAAGTGAATATTGAAAAAAAACAGAAGCTGGTTATTAAGTAATTATTTAAAACGAGGATATTTGATTAGTTTTAGTAAGAGTTTACTACAATAAAAAGCTGTTCTCTCACTTCCTTAACAAGTATCAATATATAAATTCTAAAAACCATCATTTAAATTTTCTTTAATGTTTCATTTCAGAGGTATACATCAATTTTTCTTGTCATCGACTTAGTCCCTTTAAACAAATGCTGATTTTTCAATAAGTTGTCTACCAAGAATAATTGTATACATACAATGTGATTTCTACTTGTTGAATCATGATAAAATTGAGTAGATCTTAATGTCTAAACTTAGCAGACAGAAAACACACAGCTGTAACTTTTGTGACTGCTCTTACCAAGGCTATCATTGGGTTCAGCTTTTGTGACTACTTAGGAATCTACACATCTACATGAACTTGGATCAATTTTAAAATGAGTAGCTGTCTTTATGAGAGTGAGAACTCTTGTGAGGCAAAACAGCTGCATAAACGCTCATGGCTTCCAACTGGGTGTGATTAAGTTCCCAAAACAAGACCTCAGCATCCACTCACAACATTGTTCTGATTGGTCTTGATACATTTGGAGCCTGAAATTCTCAACTCTTTTCATGCTCCTACGTGAAATATATTCTAGTGGAAGATAATTATAGGAATAGTCACTACACAATCACTGACACATAATCCTTATTCTAGTATTATACTTAATACTTTTAAGAAAGATTCTATTGGCTCTTGTATATAAGCATTCACATGCTTCTGTAGCATCTTTGGACCCCGAGTTTGGATGATAGATTTTATAGACAACAGAACTCAAGTGGTGTAAATATGTGACTTTCATGGCCCATTTCACACCTGATATGCGAAATTCCTCATTTTGGCCATGAGGCAGTGTTATGGGGAGGCCTATGAGAGATAATAGAAGATTTCCATGTCTGCAAATACGTTGTGTGACATTGATAGGGGTAGGGTGAAGACTGACTTATTGGTACATAACAATAAGATGAATAAATAACCTCTTGCTGGAAACAAATTACAATAAAACCTTCACAGAGAAGTGTAAGTTAGCATAAAGAGTAGTCAAAGAATTGTTGGTTGGAAGCTCGATGTGTCTTGGTGAGGCAGTTGGTAACAATATAAAGGATAGAAATAGAAATGGCTCTGGATCCTTAATACACTGTAGGGCAAAGTTTATCAGCATTGCTTTCTGTCATAGTCAGGACTACCAGATGAAACATGATGATCAAAGTAATTTGGAGAGAAAAGAGCTTAATTGGCGTACACTATGAAATTATTGTCCATCATCTAAGAAAGGAAGGCAGGCCAGGAACTCAAACAGGGCAGGAAGCTAGAAGCAGAAGCTGATGCAAAGACCATGGAAGAGTGCTGCTTATTGGCTTGCTCCACCTGACTTGCTCAGTCTGCTTTGTTATAGAACCTAGAACCATCAACTCAGTGATTGTACCACCCACAATGGCCTTGGTCCTCCCTCATCAATCACTGATTAAGAAAATGCTCTATAGGCTTGCCTACAAGCCCTATCTAATGGAAACATTTTCTCAATTGAAGTTCCTTTCTTTCAGAGTTTAGCTTGTGTCAAGTTGACACAAGATTATGCGATACAGTGTCTATGGTAACACAAAAATGAAAGGAAATACTTAATAAGCTAGTCAAGGGTATCCCAGGATATTACCAAAAGTGTTATCTACTAACCCAATTCAATCTGTCTGTCAAATTGATTAGTGTGAGCAGAACATTGCTGTGTCTGGGAGGATTTTTCCAGAGAGAGAGGAAGACTCAATGTGAATGTGGATAGTACTCTCTCACAGACTGAGGAGAGGACCAGATAGAAGAGGAAGGCAAGGTGGCATTAGCAGAATTTCAAGTGAGTTGCCAGGCCACCAGGGACAGAAGCCTGTGAAGCATTGAGCGAAATATGGCCTTTTTCCTTCAAGTTGTTCAGTTTAGGTCTTTATCCTAGTGGTGAAAATTGACTAACACAAACTAAAATCAACTCTTAGCTATAAAGAAGCCAGGGCTCGATGCATCTCACAGCAAAATTCGTCTTCATTCCATTTTACTAAGACAGTGAGCAATGCAAGAATGAAGAAATTGCTTCTAAAACAATGATCACATACCAAGAAATGTCATCTAGTGAAGACAAGGAAATATGATGGTGAAATCTTTGCCAAGGCCTCAGACAGATGTGAGGTAATGCTCTAGGAAACAATCCATGAAAGAAAAGACTCACTCTGCAGCTACCCCCATACACTTCCAGACCCCAAACAAGAGCGTTTCTAATGCTCTTAGAGGTATTTTGCTCAGTAGGTTAGGAGCTCATGGCTGCTTATCTCTATGAGAAAACAGATGGGCTTTCTATTAAATGACTATTTTGAAGCATTTATTATTTTTCACTTATGTCATTGCTTTTAAAAAGTACATTTTCAGTGTGTGTGTGTGTGTGTATGTGCGTGCATGTGCCTGTGTGTGTGCATGTGTATGTGTGTTATAACCACACCATGTTGTATATATTGAAGTCCAAGGACAATTTGTGAAATCAGTTCTTTCCTTCTACTATTTGTTTGTTTATTTATTTAATGATGTGAGTACACTGTAGTTCTCTTCTGACACAACAGAAAAGGGCATTAGATCACATTATAGATGATTGTGAGCCACTATTTAATTGCTGGGAATTGAACTCAGGATCTCTGGAAGAGCAGTCTGTGCTCTTAACCACTAAGCCATCTTTCCAGTCTCTCTTTCCTTCTATTATATGGATCCTGGGGACTAAGCTCAGGTTGTCAAGCTTAGCAGCAGACTCATTTATCCACAAAGACATCTTGCCGGAACTCTTTGTATTTTAGAAACATGGCCTTGAACTCCTTTTTTTTTCTTAGCTCCACTTCTCCTAAATGTGGTGATATGATATTCTTCATCAGAAAAAGATAAAAAACATTATCAGAGATCCTATTGATTTTATTTTAATGCCAACAACTTTGACTAGTATGCACTAAAGTAGTCAGAGAGCATAAATGCAAAAAAGTAAAAATAAAAATAAAAATAAACCTTTTAGACCATAATCTATGGTGGGAAAAATAAAAGAAATTGAAAACATGGACTACCTATTAAGAAGAAGAGAAAGAGGAAGAGAAGGAAATAACTCAGTGTGGCAGAACAAACAAATGAAGATCATAGAATTGTGGAAAGTCAATAGGTCTGGGAATTAACAAGTGCTCAACCTGATTTCTAAAACAATACAGACCAGTGATTTTGGTCTGGCTTGACTTAAGCAAGGCTCAAAAGCTTACACTCATATAATCTAATGAAACACAACTTTGGACTTCAGAAGAGAGGTACACTTTATGCATGGAAAAGAAACGAATAATCATGGAAGGAAGGATAAAACCTTAACTCCATCTTCAAGATGGCTATCAATTATCACATAATAGTTATATTATTGATTGCCCCTAGAACACTCTACTCCTACTCTGAACCAGCTCTAACCTGAGTAGAAACAAGAGAAGACTGTAGAATATTTACATATGGGTTATGATTACTGAACTGGATGGAAACATTCTTGAGTTCTATAAGCTAACAATGTGTTATAATGACCACATGGATGTTGATCATTCTCAGTCTTGAGCTAATCTGGGAAAGCACTTTCACACACACCCTGGATCCCTGTGCCTATACTATCACTGGTTGGTACTTTATTCTTAGGTTCAGATTTCTGATCTATGTTTAAGAGATAATAACATTTTATCTGACTTGAAGTCCATTCAGTTCATTCTTCACACTGACAAAGTCATTCAGTGTATGTTCAAGGCTTTGAAAATTAAATCTAGAAATACATCAGTGAAAAACATGCTGACATTTGTTCTGACATTACAATGCCAATGTAAACAGTTGCAAGTTATATTGTTAATCTGATTGAACATAATAGCGGAAAAAAAAAAAGACAGTAGGCACAAAGGTTGGAATTTAAATGGCTGAGGAACACTGCTTTTCTATTATATGTTTTAAAGTTAAAGGATGTTGGAGAGCTTAAAGAGAGGCTGGGAGAGTACTACAGCGAAAGCCTGGAAGAATGAATCAAATGTTTACCAATCACTGCCTATTCAAGCTTTTGGAGTAAAACATTCAAAAATATATTCAGCAGCAGCAGACCAAGAGCACTAGGAAGGGCATGAGGGGCTGTTTACAAGTAACATGGAGTTAAAAGGAGCAAGGAAGACACTACCTTGTGTGGTTGGGACAGTGGGTGTGGTATAGGTTAATTGCGCCAATATGTTAATATATGTTGGATAGTATGAGTCAGGTCTCAATAGTACAGACAGAGGTATAAATTCAGAACATGAGATATACTGCATGAACTCTGTGGGCTTCGGCAGGAATTTAATCCATGAGTGTGAATTTGTGGTTTTCTATATACATAGCGGATTTGGTCAAAACATAGTTGGTTCCTACCTTCTAGAGAGGAACAGTCTGAGAAGGAATGCATACTCCTACCTACCAGATGTGGTTCATCAAGACTAGGGTCCCATAGAG